TATAGATTCTATTAATACTCTTTTTTTAATATATCACAATGTGTAATTATTTATCAATTATATAAACATTACATCATCAGTTATTTAATTAACCAAAAAAATTACATCTTTATTAATAAAAATGTAATTCTTAACCAAAAAAATTATATATAAACTAAGCAAACGTGCATTGCACGTTGCTTAAACCTAGTATATATATATATATCTTTGAACTTTAAAAAACAGCAATACTTGTCCGACAAATAGCACTTTATGCCCAACACTTTCAAGCATTAATTATATAAGCTTCGTAGTCTAGCCGCAAGTATGAAAGGAGAGTTCGTATGTCTTCTTTTCACTAGATTTAGATGTATCTTCTTGGACAAACTATAATTTAAGAGAACGCGATGTCATAATTTAATTAAATTTACAAGTTGAATAATCTCATCTAAACATGATCTTTGTTATGTGTAAGCTTCAACAATTAGAGATCACTTATTTTAATTTGATCTTCAATTCAATTTTTAATTAAAAACTAGACGTGTCTACAATTTTTGTAAATATGATCGAAGGAAAAAGTAGATAATATGAGATGTATATATGAAAGCCTAAAACATTAAAAGAAGAAGATATTTATCAATTTAAATCTTATTTAAAAATCAACTCTTACCCGATAATTTAAATCTTATTTAAAAATCAACTCTTACCCAACTGATAAGCAGATATTCTTAAAGTCACTAATTAATGATATTTTTCTGAATAAAACACCTGAACGATATAATAAAATGTCCCTAACACAGTCCAATACTAGTACTTAAAGTGTGCTAATAATATTTTGTTAGAACATTGGAGAATCCATAGGCGAAGTCACCATGAGTAGGCTGTTCCAATAATTCTTATTCTCTTCAAAATCTCTAATACAGTTTTCAACGACATTATCAGAGTCCACCACAAGATCTGTGACGCCCTCCATTAAGCTTGGAACCCTTAAAGAGTCGGCAATATAATTAGTATAATCAAATGAATTCTCCATTCTGCCCTTGATCCGGGGATGGTTGTCATTTTGAATATTTTCTTCTTTTGAGCTGGTCCCAACTTCAAATGGACCCAAATTCTGGATGCAATTAATGGAACTAATGGATGAATGTTGCTCACCAAATCCAACAGAAGGAATAGTGAAAATATTTTCCGAGAAGTTTAAGGTAGTGTTTGGGGAGTTGAAAAAACTGTTAACAATTGTTGCATGCTCTTCTTTTGGCTTTGCCCAGCTACGTTGCCAGACTTTTAGTACATCCAAACACGGTGGCTGACACCGTTGTGCTAAAGGCCACATAGCCTTGTCTTTGTTTTGGAACTGACAAATGTAAGGGTTGGAAGCGATTTTCGACTCACGAACCAGCCTTGCTTCTGCTTCGAGTCGAGCACTCTCCCACTGAGCCATGTGGCTGAGCTTCGCAGCATCCTTGGACTGACTAGAACCGAGACCGTGATTGTTGGGCTTATGAGTCATCGGATCAATTCCCATCTTGGTTAACCTCTTCTTTAGACGTGTATTCCAGTAGTTCTTTATCTCATTGTCAGTTCTCATTGGTAAGTGCATTGCAATGGTCGACCATCTGAAACAACACAAGAACAAATTAGTATTGTTGAACAACTTACTTCATGTTTGTTATATTAAGCCACTGTTTGGTAGGGATTATAATCAGATTTTTAGTATATTTTAATATAAATTAATAAAATGTTAGTTGAAAAGTTGTGAGTCATGTAATATGTTATTAAAATTAATTACTAACTTTGACTGTGATTAAATCCCTATCAAACACAGACTAAATTTGACAGTATTGAACCGGACAACTAACATAGCATCTTAGATAACTCACTCGAACAAATAATAACTTGTATATTTTAGCATAACAGAAGAAAATAATGTACTTCTGGTTTGTACATATATCCGGTTTAAAGTTGAAATCAAGCACACAATTTCCTGCAAGAGATGAATCATGACATTGAAGCAAATTGTTCTTTGATTTCAGATCCTGTAAGAAGAATAATTGAGGGAAAGGCTATCGTGAAACATGTCTTACATTGCAGTACTATACTGAGCAAAAACATTTTAACATTGTCTATACTAAATGGTTCTAACTCCATAGCCAAGCCCGAGTAAAGTAGGATAGATGAGGTAGGTTAGGAGCTGGTGTAAAACTTTGTCAACTCTTATTAGGTGAATGCTATCCCATAATTATTATATACTAAACCCTTTAGTGTAGAAATAGTTATAAATAATTACTATTACTTGTTTCCAAGGAGAGCATGAAGCTGAATAATGGTCTGTTCTTCTTGGGAGGTGAACTTTCCTCTCTTGATATCAGGCTTTAAATAATTTATCCATCTTAATCTGCAGCTTTTACCACACCTCTGAAGCCCTATATATGCTCCACAACAACAATAGTCGTCAATGAAACAACTTCGGTTAAAATTTTAACCTCTTTCAACAAATATTCATGCTATGATAGTGATTATGTATACATTACCAGCTCTTTCTGGAAGCTCACGCCAGCTTCCATGGCCATGTTCTTGAATGGAAGCCAAAAGCTTCTGGTCTTCCTCAGATGTCCATGGCCCTTTCTTCAAACCCACTTTGTCGCAGCATGGTGACCGGCCCATTTCAAAGAAATGACCAAGTGTAGATGCAGACGAAACCGTTTTGTCTGTGTGTTTGAGGGAGAGATAAATATGAGATGAAGAGCAGACTATTAATAAGGATGAAAGATCAATACAGGTTTCGATCATATCTACCCAACCCAAAAAGGAAACCCCAAAATTTAGGACCACATTTTATTGCTTTGAATGCATACAAATATGGAAAAAATACTGTGATTGCATTGCCTCATCATATATTTGGAAGCATATAATTAGTCTAATCATTTTCATTTTAAGATTGATGGAACGAATAGCGTGGCTGCATAGAAAAGAAGTATATTATTCTAGCACTGGGACTTGTCTGTACCTACCTTATATGTGAAGTAAGAAGACATTCTACTTTTCATTTTATCCAGGTACAATATCTTGAAAAAAGCTCTGGTTGGGATGAGAAGAACCATTGTAGGTCCTGAATTACTATAACCCCTTATCTTTGCACGGAAAATAAAAGTCGATTCAGCATTGGAATATGATTTTTTTATTTTTTTTATTCTTATTTTTGTCCACTATCATTCATTTTCATTATAAGGGAAGTGGTACTTCCTCATTTACTGCTTTCGTTATTTCCTCAGGTAACCACAGTATTCTTTTACTACAAATGACGACATATTAATAAAATTTCGAATGTACCGCCCTCCTCTAATTAAAAATAAAAAAAACTATGAGATAAATAATGGAATTAATCAAAGTAAATTGGAAATCAACATCCCTATCAAAAGCTCCAAACTATTGGCACCAAAGTGGATGGATCGAGGTTCAAGTGAAGAGCTGAAAATCACGTAGCAGCACCACACAAATTGAACCAAGATTATCCACTCAAACGGACCATAGAGGAGTATCCAAAACCTAGACGAAAGTTGAGCACAAAGGCAGCGAAACATGGTAGAAACCGGGATGAAATAAGGGCAAAAAATGCACGGACAAAAGGCATACAACCAGTGCTCAACTTGCCGTTAAACGGTTGACAGAAGAAGCAACAAGAAGGAAGCAAACACAGAGGAGAGGAGAGACGAAGGTAGTCACTAAGAGAAGCCAGAGAGAGACAGAGAGAGAGAGAGAGATGCAACCTAGAGTTCTCAGTGCCAAAGGGAAGCCTTGTATTGTATGAATACACACAAAGGAGACCTCCACACATATGTACTATAATGGGTCGAGCCCGTTGTGTAGTCTTGGTCCTTCTTTATATCCTGGACTATCAAGCATGATTTTCTAGGGCTGTAAGCAAAAATCGTCAAATCGGAAAATCGAACCGAAATCGCAATTTTGAAACCGGCGGTTTGGTGCCACGTGGACCCGTCAACGAAATGACTTTGAACCAAACCAAACCGGTCAAAAACGGTTTGGTTTAGGTTTGAGAATTTTAATTATGGTTTGAAACCAAACCGAACCGGCAAAAAATATATAAAATAAAAAAATAAAAAATTGATTTTTTTT